AATCTTTTTGTAAAGTGTCCCAAAAGACAATCTTTTATCACACTACCCACCAACTCTCTATTAGTTTCCTCTGGCATCCAAAAACACCAGGCTCCAATTTCATGTCTTGGCTATCCTTAGCTCTTGGCTTCTTCTCCTCAACTTCTATTTATATATACCAGATTATAGCCCATCCCTTAAATCCCAGTGCCTTCAGGAAGATGTCCTTGATGATACAGACCTTATCACTTACTTCCATCTCTACATACGTCACTGCATATTCATCTATCAAATAACAACATGGAACAACTATCGCTGCCCTAGAATAAAATGAGAAGGGTCCTGGCAGCAGGTCCCCATTCTCTTTTTGGGCATGTTATTTAATGCCACAGATTTCCTCTGTAAATTCATTCAACATATAATGAGCACCCACCTGTGCTAAGCTTTATCCTAGTTGTGAAGAAGACCAGGTATCTATCTATCCTCTATCTATCTGTCTATCTATCTATCTATTTATCATCTATCTATTTATCTATCTATCTATCTATCTATCTATCTATCTATATCTATCATCTATTATCTATCTATCATCTATTATCTGTCTATCATCTATCTAATCTATCAGTCATGATTGTCTATCTTTAGTTCAGTGGTTCCTGAAATTTAGCCTGTGTCAGGATCACCTGGGGAGCTTGTTAAAACAAATTTCAGTACACACATGCACAACTCCCGTCCCTTCCACCAAGTTTCTGATGCAGTAGGTTTGGAGTAGGGCCCCAAATTTTTGCATTTCTGTTTCCAGGTGATGCTCACAATACTGGTCCAGGAATAACACTTAGAGAACCTATGTTCTAGTGGAAAGGCTGTCTTTTTCACTGTTGTGTTGCCAATGCCTAGAATAAATACAGAGGGTGCCAAAAAACTCTATGCACATCTTAAGAAAGAAAACATAATTAAAATTGTAATACTCAATATATACCAACAACAAAAGATGAGTAAAAGTCACGATTGACTTCTGCAATTACAAGAGGTGCTCAAAGTGGTTACCATCAGCATCCAGACACTTCCGATTATGGCGAACTACTGCTTGAGCAACGCTGACCAAAGTGTCCACTTGTACACATTTTTTTGGCATCCCTAGTGTTTATGGAATAATAGAATAAGTATAAGGCACTTTGTTAATTGACAAAGAAGAATCCAGCTCTTTCCTTGAATGATATGGTTTAGAAAGAAAAAAATCACAATTCTACTAAAAGGTAGAAAAGTTACTATCATCAGACAGGTACAGATAAGGAATGGTTTATATCCAAAGAAAAATGAACTTACTTCCAATCTAGAGAAAGGAGGAAGAAGATTAAAGAGAACTTTGTGTAAGGGTGTATTTTGATTTTTTTTTTAAGATTTTATTGGGGAATTAGGGGTGGGGAACAGCGCTGGGGAATCGGGGGAAGGGGAACAGACAAGTTGCTGTCCTTTTGTTTTTCAGTCTAGTTGTGGAGGATGTTGCTTCACTGGCCCAAGCTGGCACTAGCATTGCGTTCTTCTTGGGCGAGGCAGATCAGTCGCCGGCTTCTGGAC